AAAAATTTTATTTATCTCAAGTATAAGCCAAGGAGTAAATGATTAGCAATTAACTCAGCTTTGTTTCAGAGAGCGAAACTTGGTCTGGTTCACTTGGTGCTCATTCAGTTGACGCCCCCAAAGGTGGCCTTGAACTCCTGCTGATTTTCTTGGTTTCAGAACACTGTTGAGCTCCAGACTAAGAGCCCAAAGTCCTAGATTCTCATCTCCATTCTATTACTGACAACCTGTATGGCCTTGGGCAATTCACTTAACTTCTACCTCTATAGTCTATCAGCTATGAAATGGGTATAATAATCAAAGAAGATACTGTTCTTTGTCCCATAAAGTGCTACAAACATAAATGTAAGAGATTACTATTATTAAAGTGGAAATCTAGGGGTGACCTACCTTACATAGGTTATATAACTTTCATGGGGTCCCAACTTTGCCTTAGTGTTTGTATGGACTGCCCAAGAGAGCAGCAGGAGGCCTGGGAGTTTGGTCTATGAGAAATATGTAGATCTCTTCTAGTTTTCCCTTGTCAGTATTGAGCATGATTGTGGCCCAGGAGAGTGTATTTAAGTGACAGAAAATCAGTGACAAAGTCTCAGAGGAGAGCAGAAAAATACTGGGACTTTGGGAGCCAAAGCAGGCAAAAAGAGCCCTAGAGAGAGGGCTCTGCTTTAGGGCACTTCCTTTCTCTCTCCCATGAACATTTATTGGGCTCCTACTGTGTGACAGGCAGTGTGCTAATGTCTCTGGACCAGACTGTGTGTAGCCCTAGCCCTAACTCTGTTCTGGAGAGGCAGTGGACAGAGTGCAGTGACCCTGACACCCACTTAGCCGATAGGCACCAGGCCAAATGCTGGCAAGTCAAGAGTTGCAAGACAGAGTGTGATGGGCCTGCCTATTCCAAGTATCTCCCACTAGCCTGCCAAGAGTCCTCTGATCTGGTCTAAAATGCCTTCCCTTAGTAAGTGCTGGGTATTGTGCTAACCACTTTGTTTATATTATCTTACTTAATCTTCCCAACAACTCACTGGGGTAGGGACTATTATCATATCACTTTACATAGGAGGAAATTGAGGTTTGCTCACTTGTACCAAGTCATGTAGTGAGGTAGCATCAGAGCCTACACTAGACTACAACCCCCTTTGCCTTTCAACAGCCAGCACTGCAGGCTCTTCTTCCTGCCCTCTCCTAGCCTCCTAGAGCCCCTTTGCTTGTTCACACATCCACTCACACACACAGAAAGCCAGAAGTGCCTGAGAATTTACCTACTTCTGGGGCAGCCCAAACTAAGACTGTCAGCAGGTGCTGGAGAATCACAGACCAGCTTCTTTGCCTCTTGTGGGGACAACTCTGGAGTGTGTTCTCCAGCAGTCCCATGCAGGATCAAGCAGAGTTACTTTCTGTTGACTTGTCTTGCTTGACCTCCTCCTTTCCCCTGTCCTGCTCTTCCTATATCCCTAACACATCTCTAGCTCACAAGGGTCAGCTTCTGAGCAATCAAGAGTCCCACTCGGGTAGGGGCTGAGCTGGAGCAGGATGTTATTCAGTGACTGATTCCAAGAGAGAATTCAGAAGCTGTGTCTAGCAGTGACAGCCTGATCAAGAGTCCAGATGACCCCAGAGATCCCAATAATTGTGTCACATGGGAAATACATAGGCTTCAGAAGAGCCCCTCAAAGTGCAAGGCACTGACTTAGACATTTATGTACCTATCTTATTTAATATTAGAACATCTCTCTATTGGGCTTTTCCAGTTTTCATTGGAGCATACAGATTCAACAAAATTCACCTTTTACTAATCTTAAAATCACATTGTAGGTGAAATAGCACTTCTAAATTTCACCTTGGTGGGACTCTGTTGATATGTTGCCTCGGTTATGTGAAGCTTCTTTCAACCCCATCATCACTGCCCACCCTCTCCTGCCAGATGTCCTGTTTTCCATATTGATGTACATGACATTCATGTGGGTGGCATTCACTTTACCCCCTGAGATGATTGGTGATCTGGGTGGTGCTCTAGAGCTTTGCCATCTAATAGAATAGCCACTAGCTGCATGCAGCTATTGAGCATTTGAATTATGACTGGTCTGAATCAAGATGTGTTTTAAGTACAAAATATACATGAGGGATTTTGAAGTCTCAGTGTGGAAAAAAGAATGTAAATTATCTCATTAATAATTTAAAAGTATTTATTACATGTTGAAATAACATTTGAGGTGTATTGGGTTAAATAAAATTAATTTTATCTTTTTACTTTTAAAAACATCATTACTAGAAAATCTGAAATTACACATATGGCTTGCATTATATTTCTATTGGGCGGCGCTGCTCTAGGGACTCAAAAAAGGGAAGGTTTAGCAAGTGAAGTTGTCCAAATCCTGGACAGGCTTAGCTGGGAAGAAATTGTGTCCTTGCTGTGATGGCAGGGTTCTTTATCGGATGCGGAGGCAGCAAGGTGAGTCCTATGTGATACCACTTTAAAAGGCATGTGGTTCTGCAGATGACTCTATGCCTCTCTGGCCAAGAGGAGTTATGGTTGACAAAAGTGAAGCCACCATCTGCCCAAATGACATCACTGCCTCTCTGCTTCCAAGTAGGGATTTAGTAACTTTGCAGAATTCACATTCGTTCTTTCTTTCTTTCTTTTTTTTTTTTTAAGATTATATTTATTTATTTGACAGAGACACAGCGAGAGGGAACACAAGCAAGGGGGAGTGGGAGAGGAAGAAGCAGGCCTCCCGCCGAGCAGGGAGCCCGAAGTGGGGCTCGATCCTGACCTGAGCCGAAGACAGACACTTAATGACTGAGCCACCCAGACACCCCTTTTCTTTCTTTCTTGCTGTCATAATCTCGAGGAGAAAGAGGCCAGTTGAGGGGAGAGAAGAGGAGGAGAGAGAGAAGGGTGGGAGGATTATTATTGATTACAGTAAGGAGCTGGGAAGGACACAAAGAGACTCTAGGGAGAAGATCTCATTGGTTAAAACAAAAGGTTCAAAAAGTTAGCTAGTCAAGTGATTTCTCTCTCTCTCTCTTTCTTTTTCTCAATCTCTTTCTTTCTGGGGACTTTTGACTTTTAATGTTTATGATTGTTCCTGGGAAACCAGAAACAGTTACTTTTGTTTTGCAGATTAGGAAATGGGGGAAAGAAATTGATGAGGGATTCCCAGAGATAAATAGGAGGTGTGGAGAAAGGAGGAGGAGCAGGATTTAGGGGTAAATCCTTCTGTGTTGACATGGAAATCCCAGTTTGGGGAAGTGCATTCTATCATCGGGGCTGAACCCTGGGGCCTTCCCATTTCAATGACCTGGCTGGGAGATAATGGCTCTCTAAGGGTCCTGTTCATGTGTCTGAAGTTCAGGAGGTCCAGTCGCCTAGTAGGATGGTGACTGCCTCAATTAGTACAGCTTCTGGGACGAGGCTTCGGCATTGTCACAAGCCTCCCAGCTCTGTTTGGGTGCAATTAATGCATTACTCTAAAGGCACCTGTCACCAGCAAACTAAAGTGAGAACACACCCATTAAAAATGTTCTTTTTGAGGGCGCCTGGGTGGCTCAGTTGGTTAAGCGACTGCCTTCGGCTCAGGTCATGATCCTGGAGTCCCGGGATCGAGTCCCGCATCGAGTCCCGCATCGGGCTCCCTGCTCGGCAGGGAGTCTGCTTCTCCCTCTGACCCTCCCCCCTCTCATGTGCTCTCTCTCTCATTCTCAAGATAAATAAATAAAATCTTTAAAAAAAAAAAAAATGTTCTTTTTGAGTCCTGTTTCTGCTCCCTTCAATGGCTCCCCATTGCCCACTGAGTAAAAACCTAACTCCTTAGCCTGCCTCCAGTACCTTCCACAATTAGGACCCAGGTTATCTGGTTGCACTGATCTCTCCCTACCCTCTCTCATAGCCCCTGGGCTCCAGCCAAACCACATGCCTGCTAGATCCTCTGCATGCCCCACACTCTTGCATCTACTTCCCGTGTTTATTACCTGGAAGTCCTACTCACAGTTGTCACATAGCAACATTTTCCTTCTCCATGAGCAGCGATCCCTGGCCAGCACAGCACTTTGTAAGTCTTTTTGACCCTTGGAGACTATTATTTGTGCATATGTGTCCCTGCTAGGGGCTAGGGGAGAGACTGTCTGTATTAGCCAGCCTGGGCTGTCATAAAAAAATACCATAGACTGGGTGTCTTCAACAACAGAAATTTATTATATTTTCACAGTTTTGGAGACTGAAAGATCAGGGCGCCAGCATGGCCAGCATCTGGTGAGGACTCTCTCGGCTTACAGACAGCCACTGTGTGCTCACACGGCAGAGACAGAGTTTTGGTGTCTCTTCCTCTTCTTTTAAGGACACCAATCCTATTGGATTAGGACCCCCCTCTTACAACTTCATTTCACCTTAGCTATCTCCTAAAAGCGCTATCTAAGTTGGTGGGTTAGGGCTTCAATATATGAATTTTAGGGGGACACAAGTCCAGAGACTGCTTGATATTTAAATCCCTTTCAGGATTTTGAGCCCCAGCTGGCCAGGCCTGGGTGTGGGGACAGCCTCCAGGCCAGAGGAAGGCTGGAATGAGGACTGAGAATGAAGTCAGAAGCCCTCTTGTGGGGTACCTAGTCATTAAAAAAGTTCAGATAAGGCCTGAGCAGGGGAGGGGCCCCACAATGCTCCCAGAAGAATCTCCAGCACTCTGAGCCATTGAAGTAGTTCTTTGGGCCAGTAAAGTAGTTCGAGATCCCACCGGCTTGGCCAGTAGGGCTCCTACTGTCCCTTCAGATCTGGGACTGCTGTAGGGACCATAGGTGGGCACAGCAGAGCAGGACAGTTCTGTTCAGTAAGTTTTGATTGAATTTCTGGTGCGTGCTGGGTATTGGAGGAACAGAGAACAATCATCCTGGGTCCTGACCTTAGGAACCTCGCAGTTCCATGGGGGCAGATGGGTGTGAGGGGGGATCTATTTTGACCTAGAACTAAGAATCACGGTAGGACTCACATTCACTCATCTTTCTTCCAGGGCCATGTTCTGCAATGATTTAAAGGAAAAGTATGAGAAGAGGATCATTATCAAAGGGGTCGATGCTGAGACCATGCACACTCTTCTGGACTACACCTACACCAGCAAGGCGCTGATCACCAAGCAGAATGTGCAGCGGGTCCTGGAAGCTGCTAACCTCTTTCAGGTGTGTGAACAGTCTCAGTGCTCTCCTCTGGAGCAGGGGAAAGCAGCGACTCCTCAGAAATCTGCCTGGACTGGCTCCCAAGCTCATACCTGGCACACATATATACACTACACTCACACACACACTTAGCTGGGCCTCTACTTACTTGAAAGTCAGAAGAGACTCCTTTGGAAATTTCCTGAGAGGTGGTGAGATGCGGCATTGACTTCTTAATGCCATTAAGCCAGGACAGCGTGGTGCCTGGAATCTATACTTGGTTCCTAACAGCAATGACTACAACTTGCTGAAGGCTAATTGGAGCCAGGGTTCCAGCCATCACTTCAATGCGTAACTTCTTTTTTTTTTTTTTTTTAAGATTTTTAAAAATTTATTTGAGAGAGAGGGAGAGAGTGAGCAGGGGGAGAATCTCCAGCAGACTGCGCTGATCCCTGAGCCCAATGTGGGGCTCAATCCCCAGGACCCCGAGAGCACAGCCCCAGCTGAAACCAAGAGCCAGATGCTCAACCGACTGAGCCACCCAAGCACCCCTCATATATATAACTTCTAATCCTTAGCACAACCTGGGGAGATAGTTACTTCTCCCTACTTTACAGGAGGGAAAAGTAATAATGTACAGAGAGTGGGTTATTTGAACCCTGGGCTTTCCGAGTCCAGGAGCTACATTTTTGTAGTACAACATGCAGTCTCTCTGGGAGCAGTGTCTAGATTTTGGGGCACACAGGACCTTGCCTGGTCAGCACTTTGTGGTGGGTGTGGAAGAAGAGCACTTTTCATGAGGGTTATTACAGAAGATAAAAGAGAGAACCCTCGGGATTAAGTTTTATGGTTTCCGTTTGACTATGTTTGTTTCAATCCGATTACAATTATATTTAGCTTCATGGAGTAATTAGACCCATAGATTCTGTTGGTTGCATCCATAGTTATCATAGGGGCTCCATCTCCCATTACCATCTTTGCCTAGGTCTAAAAGTACACTTGAACTTGGTTTTGCCAGATTAAGCAGAGAGTGTCTCACTGAGGTTGAGATTTATGACAGAGTCCAGGGACAAGCCCAGTCATTCCCAGGGACTGGGACAAACATCAGATCTTGTGCATGGTTTGGGACTTTGGGAGGTGGTATCCTCTTGGATCCTCTGTAGGTCAGCAGTTAAGGGGAAACAAAACAAAGTCTGGGAAGGTGAGGAATGAGGGGCTATGAGTCAAGACCATGGACAGTGGGATTATCTTTGTTGAAGCTGGAGTCTAGGCAGGATCTGTGGAGTCCAGCAAGGAAGGGAGAGTAGAAAGAGGGAGGAAACTCTATGAAACAGCACTGATTAGTTCCGAATAATTGTTTGCCAATTTTATTGTCTCATTTTCTTCAGGGCATTTTCCGTCAGGGCTGGTCACGCCTTCTGGTGATGTGTCCAAGTCAGTTACCGCACCCCCTGCCAACACACACACAAACAGCCTTCCCCCTTTCTCTGTCCTGACCTTCTTACCCCTTCAGCCTTACTAACCCGCAGGGGAATACTCTTCTTTCTGTGGAGGGTGGGACTCCGCAACCTCACTCTCAGGAGCCCTATCTCATCCCACTTCCCACCCCTGCCCGTACTGCTCCAACAATCTAACCTCAGGGAAATCCTTCCCTGATAGGGCCTCTATTTAGTTTAGCTTTTGCCTGGGGACTGTAAGACAGCTGCATGTATTCTACACTGGGTGTGAGGGTGTGGGAGTATTTACAAATCTTTACTTAGCCTCCTTATTTTCAGTATGATGTCCTCATGTGTCTTCCTCAATTTCTGGTGTCCCTGGTCCAGAACCTCTCCTGTCTGGTTCCCCCAGAGGATAAATCTTCTTTTCTAGTGGGAGTGGAGTTGTTAGATCACAAGAGGTGGGGAGGAGTCCTAACAGGCTTAAATTCTTCTTAAGGTGGGGCTGATACCAGGGGTGATATAAATACCCAGATGCCCAGAGCACTCTTCACCTGCCCTGGCCTTGCTCTTTCCCTGGGACTTTTAATATTCCTGCTTTCTGAGGTTCTGAGGGACAAACTCCTTTGTAGGTACTTGGTCTTACCTCTTTCCTCTCAGCAAAGCCATTTGCCAGTCTTCATAGTCTGTGGTTTGGGGTTACTGATAACTCCCAGTTTCATGGAGGAGGGAGTTTGTGTTTCTGTTTCTTGTTCTCCTTTCGGTTTTTGGTGATTTTAGTAAAAACTCTTTAGATAGTAAAGAGTTTTGTAATGTTGCAAATATTTTCCATTGGTTATTTGACTCATAATTTTTGGTTATGACATTTTTTAATGTACAAAATTTAAAATTTGTGTTTCGTCAGATCTGTTGATCATTTCCTTGATGTTTTTTGCCTTTGTTATGTGTTTTTAGAAAGACCTTCCCCGCTGCTTAAGTATATACTTATTCACTTATAATTTCTGTTAGTCTTGTTATATCCACAGCTTTGATACTTAAATCTTTAATGTATCTGGAAATTACTTTGGCATTAAGTTTCTCCTTGTCCTCGTCCTCTTCCTCCTCCACCTCCTCCTCATTTTCTCTTAAGTGGTGAGCTTCAATAGAGATTTTGGTTTTAATCAGAGGTGGAGGGAGGAGGAAGACAGAGACAGGATAGAGATAGAGCGTGCTCAGTTTATTATTGATTCCCCTATTCTGGTATTCCCTCAACTTAAAATTTTCCAAATCTCATTCACTTTCTAGGCAAAAAATACTAAGTTTCTCTTTGAGGCTATTTTACTCATTTTCCTATGAGTGTTAATTCTTTTGAAAACAAGAGAAGAGTGCTCTGGGCGTCTGGGTATCTATTTAACCCACTTTCTGATTTCTGTTGCTTCTGGATGACTTGCTTTGAAGTCTTAGATGTAGAAAACTGGGAATATCCTCATGCTTGAAAGCACCACAAGGGACAGAAGTTTATAGGTTGTTGAAATCACTTTGTGGTTTTAAAAAAGTATTTATTCATTTGAATGAATAAAACATACCCTTGTTCCAAATTCAGAAAACAGAAGGGGAAACAGTGGAACATTTTGCCCTGTTCACTTTTGACCATGTCTTGCTGTCCTTTATGTCCTGTGCACAATGTATATGTGCATATATCACTCCCACTCATTGTCTCCAGTTTTTAAACGTGAATGTTGGCACACTATATACCCTATTTTGCATGTTGCTTTTCTTGGCTTTACAGTATATTTTGGAGATTGTTACAGATCAGTATGCATAGAGACTTTTCTTTCTTTTCTTTAAGGTTTTATTTATTTATTTGAGAGAGAGAGAGAGTGAGCACGAGGGTGGGGAGGGACAGAGAGAGGAGAGGCAGAGACTCCCAGGCAGATTTCCTGCTGAGCCTGGAGTCCGACCCGGTGCTCGATCTCATGACCCCGAGAGCACAACCCCAAGAGCACAACCCAAGCCGAAACCGAGTAGGATGCTTAACCGACTGAGCCACCCAGGTGCCCCTGCATAGAGCCTTTTTGATGGCTGCATAATGTTGTTGGGGTCTCCTGAGAAGTGGAACATGTCGAATTATCTTAATGGTCTCTTATAAGGCAGAGTGGTAGAGTGGAAAGAACATGGGTGCTGGAGTCAGGCAGAACCTGGGTTTAAATCCCAGTTCAATCATTTATTTGCTGTGTGGATGTGGACAGGTTATTTAGATTATCTGAGCCTCAGCTTTCTTATTTGTAAAATTAGGATGATAACAATACCTATACCTACCTTTTAGGGAGAGTTATGAGGATTTAATGAGATGCTATTTGTAAAATGCCTGGCACATAATAGATGGATAGAATTTTCTTCCCATCATTTGTGCATTAATTTTAACTTTACTTCAGGCAATTTGTACCGTAAGTAAACTGGGCTGACATTGAGCTGTGAGAACATTTTCCTATGCCATCCCCAAATCTTTGCTTTTACCTGGATTAGAATTATAAGAGACCATGATTTAAAGTTTTGTTTTATCGTGTTCATATGACACTTGGTTAGTAGAATGAATTGGACTGGTGCTATATTTAATTAACTCAGGATTATAGATAGAGAAAAGTGTGCCAGAGTTGGCACTTTATCTTGTTATTTTAGAACATCCACAGAAGCCGATACCACCTTTGTGGGACTGAAATCAATGGGAATCAGAGTATCTTGGTGTTCTCTACCCAATCCGGTGGTAAAGGTTTTTAGTTGTCACACCATCGCTGATCCTCAGCTATTCCCTCACTTTCTTCTTCTCTTTTCAGCTCTCTTGCTATTATCCATAGATTGCTTCTATGCCAGAATTTCCCGGTCCAGAAAGAGATCTTTTGATTGACCCAGCCAGTCACCACTATTGCTCTTTGAAAAGAGCTTTCCATGCGAGGCAACTTCATGAGTTGCTGACCTCATGAAGACGGCTAACCCTGGGGTCAGTTACCATTACCATTGTCAGTTGTCATTGGTCCAATCATCTGTGCCCAGGGTGGGACAGTTTCTTTTAGGAGGAAAGTTAGTGTGGGCAGGTACTGAATGAACTGCCCATGAGAGGAACTTTGCAGTAATCTAGCCATAATTTATTGGTGAATTATGGGGAGAAATGTATTTTCTCCAAGTAGTTTCTAGAAAGGTAAGAGTAAGAAAAGCACCTACGAGGAAAGGCCTGAGTGACCCTTCACATGGGAGGCAGGGTTTTTGAGATGAATGTCATCCAGTGGGGGCCCCGAGAACTTGCCTTAGCTGGAACTTCAGGCTCTTGAGTTCTAGATGAGCAAGGCAGTCAGAAACTGTAGAGACTGTAGACCTGGGACAATGGCTATAAAAACTTGGTAAGATTCTTTAGTTTTGGAGAACTGCCGTGTTCGTTTGGAGAACTTTGTCATATTCGTTACTTTCATTTTTATTATTAAAAACTCATGAAAGAATATGGACTCGTGAGTTTATCAGCAGGGCAGCAAAAGGTGTGAGGTCAGGGAGACCAGCTCACCCCTCATTTAGTTTTGGGACAGAGGATGCCTAAGATAATAGAACAGCTGGTTAGAA